CACACACACACACACACACACACACACACACACACACACACACACACGTGAGGTGTGAGATAGCAAAAACCTAAAATCCTAGACCTCAGGAATAAGTTTAAGGTCTCTGTCAGCTACACAGAGATTTCAAAGGCAGCCACCTACATGAAACCCTATTTCAAAAAACAAAAACAAACAAACAAAAAACTTAACTAAAATTCTTAAAATGCTACTTAGGAAATGTATCTTTTTCTTTCCCTTTCTTTTTGAGATAGAGTCTCACATAGCCCTGGCTGGCCTGGAATCTCACAGAGCTCCACCTGCTTCAGCTGGGATTAAAAGCATACACCAACACACTCAGGATTCATTAGGAAAATAAATGTGAAGTAGACTTCTTTTTGACCACTAAGCCTGATAAACAGAATAAAATTCAATGAAATAATGCTCTGAGAATACCTGTGGTCATACCTGTTGGTATCTGGATACTGGGTACATCAGCTTCACATCGAGTTTGGGATTATACTGAGCAAGAGATTCATGGTGATAGTGGTTAATGAGCTCCACCACAGAATTAAATGTCAGAGGGTCAGAGAAGCCATATTTACCATCCCGATGATAGATCTTTATTAGTTTATTATTTCCTCCTTTCCTGCGAACAACAAAACAATAACTGTAGCATTTTCCCCAAAATTCTATTAAAACACTAATTTCATATGAAGATATAAAGACTTAGTTCATATTGAATAAATGTATGCTAATAAGACCAGAGAGGATTAAACAGAATATATAATGTGTTTAACAATATGTATTATTTTATATTATTTTCTTACCTATTTTTTCCTTTTGTTTTGTTTTATTTTGTTTTGGGGACAAGGTCTCGATGTGTAGCCATGGCTGTCTTAGAACTTGCTTTGTAGATCAGACTTGTCTTGAATAGCAGAGATCCCCTGTCTATGTCTCCAAGTAAAAGGCCATCACATCTGATTTCTTTTTCTTTCTTTCGTTTTTTTTTTTTTTTTCTATTTCTTTTGTCCATAAAATACCTTAGCTATTAAAAATCGAGGTATCTGGGATGGGTGCAGTGGTGCACCCCTTTAATCCCAGGCAGAGGCAGGAGAATCTCTGTGAGTTTGAGGCTACCCTGGTCTACACAGTGAGTTCCAGGACAGCAAGGAACACATAGAGAGACCCTGTCTCAAAAATCAAACAAAACAAACAACAAAAAAACCGCAAATGTATACAAAATTCAGTATAAACAAATTTAGCCCAAAATGTTACTTAAAATAACTAAAATGTCGGTAAATTATTTCTTTTGTGAGTTATTTTTTTAAAATTTTTTCATGGGGAACACAGGCAATCTCTTTAAGACCTCTCTATCTTTAAGCAGAAGGAAAAGCCATCTCTATATAAAGGGAATCATAAACGTTTATCTCAGTATCACCAATACATTCAAGGTTTTACTATAATTTGATGCTTAAGTACCTCAGACCACCTTTATTTACCTAGTCAAATCCAAAGAATAAGTAAAGGATCATTTATAAGACCAAGTGTGGGTAGCTCATGCCTATAATCCAAGCACTTTGAAGAAGGATCACAAGTGTGAGGCTACTTACTATGTCTGAGTTACAAGGCAAGACCCTGCCCCAGAAAAGAAAATCAAAGAGAAGAAAAGAAATGGGGGGAAAATAAGAAAGAAAAAAAAAATTAAAATTAAATAGCAATGTTTTGTAAGCCCCACAAAGCATAATCTAAACCCACATCAAGTGGATTCATTATATAACAGCAAAATGCTATTCCCATCCAATTTTTCTAATTGCAGCATGAAATGGGGGAGGGGTATATATGCCTTGTGTTGTGCATTTATTATACATGATGAATAATCCACTGGGACTTGTGAAAGACCAAACAAGATAGGTCTGAATTTATAGACTGGTTGAAATTCAAATTACACAAGGCTCAGGTCAGTATTTAGATGGATGATTAACTAACTATTATTTATAAAACACATTTTAGAAGCACCATCTAATAGTACGTGATTAGTATAAGTGTACACACACACACATATTTACAATAAATCCAAGATGTTCTCTCTTAAAATTCATTAAATTAATGTGCTGAGTATCTACAGAGGGCATGAAGTCTTTCTACTCACAGAAAAGGACTAGGAAAACCAGTAATGTTACACACAGAGAATTCTCCTCAACTGCAGAGGTATATACCTATTTTCCACCCAAAGGGCTGGGAATGCACATAGTTAATAACCTTGTGAGGGGTTTGAATAAGAACAGTTCCTTCCCACAGGCTCACAGATTTGAATGCTTGGTCACCAAGGAGTAGCACTTTTTAAAAGGATTCAGAGGTATGGCCTTGTTGGAGAATGTTGTCATTGGAGGTGGGCTTTAAGGTTTAAGAAATCCATGCCAGACACAAAGTCTCTCTTTTTTTTTGCTGCCTGTGGATCCAGACGTAGAACTCTCAGCTACTTCTCCAACACCATTTCTGCCTGCATGCTGCCATGCTCCCTGAAATGATGATAATGGACTAAACTCTGAACTTATAAGCAAGCCCCAATTAAAAATTTCCTTTATAAGAGCTGCCATGATCATGGTATCTCTTCAAAGCAATAGAATGAACTTTGCTACCTGTAGAGCTAGTCTTTTTTTTTTTTTTTAAGACTTACTTATGTATATTAGTGCTTTGTCTTCATGTTCATCTGTACACCAGAAGAGAGCAACAGATTCCATTACAGATGTTTATAAGCCACTATGTGGTGGCTGGGAATTAAACTAAGGACCTCTGGAAGAGCAGCCAGTGCTTTAAACTGCTGAGCCATCTCTCCAGCCCCCTGTAGGGCTAGATGTCACCTGAATACCCCAGACTATTATTTTTGTTTATCCCAGACTCTTATTCCCTAGATCTTGAACAGCTTCTCAGTCAAGAAAACCTATCATGAGAAATGTCACCTGTACTTTACAACAGCCTAGAGACCTTCTATGTTATCTTTGGGCAAGACAAATACTGACTCCCACAGGCTATTACATTTTCCTCAGTTATTCTCCCTGGACCTTTGAGCATTGTTTCTGAGTCAACAGAACCCATCTTTATGGAAGAGACAATATATACTTTTTGTTTTGTTTTTGTTTTTGAAGACAAAGTTTCTCTATGGAGCCCTGGTTGTCCTGGACTGCTTTGTAGACCAGGCTAACCTTGAACTCACAGAGACCCACCTACCTCTGCCTCCCCAAGTGCTGGAATTACACATGTGCGCCACCACTCCCTCCTGAGAGCATATGTACTTTGTAATGTGTTTCAATATAAACATGTCTTAAGCTTTGTTATACATCTAAGATTGAGTTAATTTTATCAAGAAACTTTTTTTCCAAAATTGTGCTGTGCTTAAATATGGCTAAAATAAATTTCCCTGGGGTCACACATTACAAATTTGAACGAGCCCTGGCTAACTAAATTGTATTGAACTGGATTTCCTTCTTGCCTCACTCGGATTGTTACTCTGCCAGCCCTGCTGTTTGCAGACCCCCACAAATATCTACTATGTACCAAGAACGATACAAAGTGCTATGGGCACAATGACAAGCAAGTCAAATACACTCCATGTTCTCACAGAACTTAAAGGAGCATATGTGCATTTCATAGGTCTGAGGTTGAGGGAGCCAGAGGGTTATTCTGATTTTTGGATTGGCTTTTTTTTTGTTGTTTGGGTTGTTTTTGAGACAAAGTTTACAATGTAGCAAAGGCTGGCCTGAAACTTGCTATCTAGATCAAACAGGCCTCAAACTTGTGGCAATCGCCTTGCCTCAGGCTAAAAATAGAAAATTAGAGAAGGGCTATATAGCCAGTTCATCAGGTAAGGGCCCTTGCCAGCAATCCTGACAACTTCAGCTCAATCCACAGAACCTACTTAGAAGGAAAAAGCTACCACCCAAAAGTTGCTCTCTGACCTCCAAAAACACTATGAAACACATGCAGACAGACAGACATACACAAAGTAAATAAGGTAAAAGTACAAATAAAAATAAAAACAACAAAGGCTAGTGAGTGGTGGTGCACACCTTTGATCCCAGCATTCAGGAGGCAGAAGGAGGCAAATCTTTATGCATGCAAGGCCAAATTGTTCTATACAGGAAGTTCCAGGCCAGCCAGGGCTACATAAACAGCAAGGAGACCAGTCATCTGGGGACTGAATGGTCAAAAGAGAAAACAGTAAGTGGTGTAGGAGGAGACATACGATCATGAAACAGCTTGTAGACTATAGTAAGGCTTTAATTTTTTTAAAGACTTACTATCTTTTAATATTGTGTGTGTGTGTGTGTGTGTGTGTGTGTGTGTGTGTGTGTGTGTGGTGTGCGTATGCACCCACACTTTGAGGCATCTGATGAAGCTACAGGCTTCAGATCCTCTGGATCTAAAGCTACAAGTGGTTGTGAGCTGCTGGAAAGAGAGGTACTGGGAACTGAAATGGGTCCTCTGCCCCATTTCAGGGAGCCCACCATCACCTGTAACTACAGCTCCAGATCAGTTGCCTTTTCTGTATCCACAGGCACTTCCACTCAAATGCACTTCCCCACACAAAAACACATAATTAAAAATAAATCAGCATTTCAAAAGTTTTCAAAATAAGATTATCAACAGATCCAAGAAGCATTGGGTTTGGCAAAGGAAGACCTTGAATGAAATTCTAAATGGTTTCAGCTAATTATAGGTACAAGACTCCAACTAAAATGAATTAAAGATAAGGCCAAGTTTGGCATTGATAACCGCAAAGATGTGAGTTTGAGGTCAGCCTGGTCTACATGGTTTGAGGCCAGCCAGGCTACATAGGGAGACCCAGTTTTTTCTAAAATTTGTTTGTTTGTTTGTTTTAAAAGGAGGAGGAGGAAGAGGAGGGGAGATGAAAAAGAGACAGGATAATTATTTGGAGAAGGGGAGGATGGGGCTATACTAGGGGCTGAACCTAAGGTTTCATTCATACAAAGCAAGTGCTCTACACTGAGCTGCAGTCCTAAAACTTGGACAAGATAATTTGCAGAGTAACGGACATCAGCAGGTTAGAGGGATGGATAAAAGCCATTCCACAAACAGAGATGTAGCCACAAACCAAAGCCACCATTCACCAGACTAGGAGATAGGCAAAGCACTCACCTAATAGCTATGGCAAAAAAAAAAAAAAAAAAAAAATGAGAAAGTTCTCTTTCTCTCTCTTTTTTTTCTTTCTTTTGTTTTTGTTTTTCACAGCAGGGTTTCTCTGTATAACCGTGGCTGTCCTGGACTCTGTAGACCAGGCTGGCCTTGAACTCAAGAGAGATCCACCTGCCTCTGCCTCCCAGAGTACTGTGATTACAGGCGTGCACCACTGTGCCCGCTCACTCCTTCCTTCTTAATACATCATTCTCCAATGATCCTGATGATGTTATTCTTTGCTTTTACTTTCTCAAACTATTCCTCTTCTCTCTGTTTCCTGGCTATATACTTATTCTCTTAAAAAATTGGCTCAGCTTTTACAGTTGTCATTTTATACACTCTTCTGTTGAAGCTTTGTTGACTCTACACATATAGTACCTAGCTCTTTTTTCTGGTGCTATGTAGTCTCATAAGCATTAAACCCCTATCTCTAGATATATCTTAAGATAT